GGGGGCGAGCTGGGCGGCTGGCGGCCCTGGCTTGGAGCAGTCGCGGCGGCCTGAGGGGCGAACCGCCGCCTCCCGCGCCGTACTGCAAGCCGCAACGGCCGCTGCGGGAGCCGGCAGCGAGCCCGGGGCCCGTTCCTCCCTGCTGAGCACTGCGAGATCGAAAGACACCGTTCTCTCGGGGCGACAGCAGCATTCTCCGTATTTCCAGCCCTTTTTCGGCTTGTGTTGCTGTAGTAGCAGCCACATTCATCAGAGAGAAATTTAAGCTCACGAACAGAAGACACCTCGGACAGAGAGGTGTTTCTGAATCCCATCCAAACCCATCCGGTTTAGGCGGGAGGACTGACGTGACTGATCCACGCCGAACATGTGCACGTTCAGTGCCCATTAGAGCAGGCTCCCGGTTTGCAAACAGTATTTTTCCCAACCCGATCAAATGGCGCAATGGCTTTTTCAGTGGGGTGCAAATGCCGGCTCTGCAGTCACCTGCATGCGGCGTTGTGGTATTCGGGAGATGTGATTGATGTATCACGTTCACAGAGAATTCCACCAGCTCGCAAGCGCTAGAAAGTAAAACCTAGGAGTCAGCTACTACTTTAAATACACTACTTAATAAAAATCTCCAGATCAAACCTAACACTATTTTATTCTTCCACAAATGTTGAGATAAAGTTGGATTTTGTCCTGCTTTCCTTTTAAACGTTCTGAGACTGGGCAACAAAGATTGTCAACCCATCTATTGCATAGCGATGATGAAAACTAGGCAGTTTTAGGGATTTTGCCAAGTTCTATTTTGTATTCATTTCTGGTAGCTCTAATATTTGCTTATAGAAAGCCATCCCTGCAATTACTTAAACATGAGGGGATACCTGGTGTCTAGTCTAGTATAAAATTCAGCCTAACTTCCTGGCTTTGGTGTTTGTCATATGCATAAGGTAGAGCCATCTCAGGATGACCCCAAGAATGTTTAGCTAGATCGGTCAATATATAATCTAAAAATTATCTCTTCCAACAGTCAAATACTTTCATTAAAAGCATACTTAGATGATACAGTGGTTTTACTGCAATTACTTTTTGAAGGTACTTAATGTTAATAACATTATTCATTTCATTCAATTGCCCTTTGGATAATTCATGTCATTACTCATGACCTGTGGGACCTGGAATGTCTCTTGCGTAACACCACTAAACCCAAAAGAAACATGCTGGGAATTAGTTCAGTCACTGATACTGGTATTTATCCCATCAGTTACATCTGTGATTTACAGCACTGATGATTATTTAGTAATGTCATAACAAGGCTGTCTTGAGAAATGCATAATACCAAGTGATGATTTTAAATCAACAATCACTACCGTAGGGCAGAAAATAAAGCTTTGAGTAATCAGGACAACCTAACAAACTATATTTGCTCAGAACAAGATAGCACTGCTGAGCCAAAATTTGAAGTCGTTAGGTCACAGGTGACTATGACATGTGTTGTGTAGCTCTCAGCACACTTCAGGCTTCTCCAACAAGTTCTCCCTGGCCAGAAAATGACGGAACAGTGCTTACAGCACCTGTGACCATTTCCAGCATTTTGGGAAGTACAGTTGCAGAGTAATAACTCTGTGTGCACATCTGAGCCGTTTGGATGACTGCTCCAATCCCTCTGGCACTTGAAGTGTCTCACTAACGTGATTGAATTTATTATCCTCAAAACAAAAATACATTCTTTTCATTGAACAGGTAGGAAAATGAAGCACAGAGAGACTTAGTCTTGCCAGAAGTCACTTGGAGAACAGTGTGGATGGCAAAGCTTGAAATCTAGCTCACTTCAATTAGCCACAGGACCACATTCCTCTTTGCCATCTACCGACTTTCAAAGGGTTGCAAATACATTGTAAACACATATGTTGCACCCTGTAAGTTTTGTGAAAATAATGGCACCAAGTTTGCAAACTAAACCCTCAGAGGGAAGGCACTGTGAAACCCCTCTCCATCCACAGAGACAGAGTCTCACTTTACCTTTGCTCCTTGCAAGAAGGTGCCTCATTCAGTGCCTTGTCTGACCTATTCTCGGGTGAAATAGTGCAAGAAGCTAGTGTCTGCCTCATCTATTGTAGGAACTGGACAGTGTATGGTGAATAAGGTTTGCAAGAAGAAGCAAGCTGATCCATGAATAAGCAGGCTGCATACTAGCTCAGCCAGGATTCCACTTACACTAACCACCTTAACATTAACGCTATGCTTTCATGACCAGTTTATACTTTCGTGGCTCATACCTAGAGTTTTAGTGACAAAAGGTGAAATCCAGTCTCTGTAGCTCTTTGATTTTTGCCAGCACAGATGATTGTGCAGTAGAGTGGTGAATCAAATAATGGTAATTACCTGAGTTAAAAGTCACTCAGGAAAAAAAAATGGTGTTCTACTGGATTGGTCGCTCAGTCACTGTGCAGCTACAGGCATATGGGCAGATGAGGAAGAGAGCAGATATGTGTGGCTAGGGAAAGGAGAACTAGGATGGCTTCTTCCAGCCACAGAGCCAGCTTACAGCAGCTTAAAGCAATCACGAAGCTACAGTGTTAGTCTCCTCCTCCCCCTACCTTCTAGTCCTAGCTGTGTACTTCACATTGGGGTCATTTGGCTTCTTCTCCCAGTTGCCAGTGAGCCCTGGAAGAACAAGAGAGGGGCACCAGTTGTGGCTTGAAGCAGTCACTGAAGATCATGTCCGGGTCTAGGCTGGAAGCAGCATGAACCTTCAGGTATCTGATGGCAGTTCTCCAGCAAGGTCTTGCTGATCCCACTGGCCTCTCACAGACTTGCCCTTTGAGCACTTGGGAAAGATTTTACAAAGGTAGGAAAAAGCATATCCTTACCACAACAGACCTCTGGCAAACTTCAAGTCTCTTCTCTGAGGCATGCAGGCACTAGTTTCTCTAAGGAGAAATGAACAGCATCTCTTTATTGCTGAGTCAAATGACGTGCTATTCTCTGGTCTTTTTGCCAAAGGAGCAGAACCACTCTGAATGAACTTTTCCCACATGTTTTGAAGATTAGTTATGTTTCAATGAACTGGAAACACTAATAGGAGATGTTGAGGAATTAAGAAAGTGGTACTGTCTACCTCTTCTGTTACCCATATAAGTAACATCAAGCATTAATTAGAGCTGCAAGTTAAATAATACATTTCACTATGCCCTATATAGAGTCTTTTCTTTTTGATGTACAAAATGTCATATTATTGCAGGATAGGACATTAAAATGTATCCCTTATTTAAAGCAGAGTGGATTGTAGGTAATTTGTCTTAATCTCTGGGTTTATTACTAAATTCAGTGCCAGCGCTGTGCTTCCCTGTATAAGCTGACTGACCAGTGGAATACGTTCATTAACCTAGAAATTGATTTTTCAAGCATACCAAGTTGTTACTTACAGTTAGGTGATTCTGATGACAGACCAAAGTCTGGTCACCCTCCTGCTTTCTCCTCTCTACCAGGCAGGCCCTTTAATTGGTTGCTTTCCTATCAAAATATTGTCAGCATGTTGACCTCCTTGACATTAGCTATGGGATAGAATTATGAAACTTCCACTGAAATAACTGTCAGCTGATGGAGAGGCCTGGTGTCTCTAGTAGGCTTTGTATATCTCACTGACATGTCAAAGAAATAAAAATGTAGATGTTTTAGTAATGTTGGTATTAAACTCTTTTTGTACAAACAGTTCACTTCCTAGTATGATGGAGGGAGCCGTCGACCACCAGTCCTCCATCAGCTCTTCCTGCCCTGCCATTCCAGCCAGGAGGCACGTGAGGGGAGGAAGGAACATATTGGAGTGGGAGGGAGACACACTGTTCATTCAGGTTGCTTATTTGGAGCAATTTTTCAGGGGTATAAATCAAAACAATCTTGAAGTTGCTGTAATAAATCTGATACGCTTTGTGGCAGTCCCCAGGACTGATGTGAGAACGTAACAATTCTCCTTCTGTCTTCTCTGAGCTTATCTACAGCACCAAACATCTCCTGGTGTACCACAGAGTAATCTTAGGTGTACTAAGTCCAGACCAACCTTCTGTTGGGTTTACCAATGAGGTTACTTAATATCGCACCCATTAGTCTGTAATTATACAGTCTCTTTTACAAGCATCCCATAAAGTGCCATGTTTGCCTAAGGAACTGTTAACCTAGAGAGGTGGCATTAATCAGCGTGCTGAGCTATGGCTAACCTTGCTCTCTCCATCTCTCGCAGAGGGCTGGGTGAATGAGCACTTCTCGTGGGGAAATGCACCAGGAGGCACAACATAGAGACTATTCTGCTCTGTTGGGCAGAACAACATCACTAACATGGATACCCCTTCATCTCTATAGTGTGGATGAGTGTCCTGGGGCTCTACAGAGTGAGCATGGCAGAGCTTGAGATGGATGAGGAAGCCGTCACCCTTAGTTGCCACCCCTACCCACAGAACAGGCTGCTCACAGACAGCTGCTGAACCATATGTTCAAGAGCACCATGCTTCAAAGGAAACCATTACCAAAAGATGCTACCAAACTGGGACAGCCCAAGAGCTGAATCAGAAATGACTTGGCCATCCGTGCAGGGAGAGTGCAGTTACTTGGGATAACAGCTGCATCAGCTGTCTCTGAGCTAGGTCATCCCCTTGCACTCAATGCCCTGTCACTGAGAATGAGCACATACCAGCACAGCATCCAACAAGCACTCCTGAATCAAGAAAAGCTATTTCTCTGCCAGTCACAGAGGGGACTGCTTGGTGTTTTTCCATTTCTGAATCGGCTCTGCTCCAAAGCTTTCCAGTTTTGAGTTTTCCTGTTGGCACTCAGAGAGTGAGACTGCAGCAGCTTTTTTTTTTTTTTCCTAGAAAATACTGATTACTTAAAAACATGAGTTTTCATGGGCTCCCCTCTCCACCCTCTCCTTTCATACCACTTAATGGACTAGGCTGCTCTGCTTCCGAAGAGGTGATGGAAACATCAGCTGATGGCCTAATGCCTTTGCTCAACCAGTGGGAGGGGAGAGTTAAGGCTGGTGGTGCTAGATAGCCTTACATTTGTGAATACAGTGTGTGAGAGGAAAAAAACATGCTTTTATATGGTTTTACCATCTCTTCATTTTGTTAGACTGGTATAAGATACTATTTGCTTTTGGTAACCTGATTATTTTAGAGAACCTCCTTGGTTTGAAGTAAAGACAAGCTACACAGCATTTCCTTGGTCCAATTTCCAATAAGTATCTCCATGACATCCCTGAGTGTGCTCATTTATAACCTGACTAAACGTATTGAATACAATAGAGAGGATGAAGTATCTAATTCTCCTTCCCACGAGTGTGGCTGTAAGAAGAATGCATGCTAGCATCAAGAAACTCTCCTCCTTACCAGGAATTTAAAAAGCAGCTGCCATTGCTACATCCATCCATAACACTGAAGGGAAATGCTCACCAGAACAGCAGGTATACAGTGACAGTAACAGTAAACTTATTTTATGCCAGATCACTTGGGTTAAGGTCTTGGGAATGCAGAGAAGTACTACCATGACTTTTAAGTCACAAAATGTTATCTCCTCGCCAAAAGCCCAATATTACTCCATTTAATTCTAGGCGACTTGCAGCTGATGCCTCTTGGGGATACTCTCACTGAAGAAAGGACAATCTAGCGCTAATGCTACAAGCTCATTTGATTCAGTGGAGTAGCATCTTCTCTCTTCAATACAGAAAATCCCTCCATGCACACTTTAAGTCATAAAAATGAGTTAGTAACAATTTAACTTGGAAAGCTAGAGTTTCTTCTGGAAACAAAGCTGAACAAACGCCTCTCCCAGGACCTCTTGTTTGTTAATTCAAAGCTTATGTCTCTCCTCTTTCTCCATTCTAGTGCCAATATTCATTATCGCACTGCCAGATGCACACAGGTACATTTCCATCACCCCTTATCACCTCCCATGGCTTCTCACACCATGCTTAGGCACAAGGAGCCACTGTTCTGGCAGGAAGAACCATGGTTATGTTAAACTCTGCCAAGCTGTCAGGCAGTGTTTCCAAACTCTGTGATGCTCTGTAGTCTTTGCTGTTGTGAACAATGAGGTGAATTCAATCTAACGGACCACCTGCCCCTTCACTGGGAAAAACAGACATGGCGTACTGAAGCCAAATGATCTACGCAGAAGAACTGGGGCACTGTGCACAGACAGAAGTATTTATGCTCACATTCATAGTAAAATAGAGCTGGAAGAGACCTCACTAAGTACCTAATCTTTCCTTCTGTCTCAAGAGAGCATCTGCAAGATCTGTGTCTTTCTTGGCACGTGTTTGTAAAAAGTTTTAAAGACCTCCAATAATGGAGATGCTACAATCTCCCTGGATAATCCTTTCTATAGTGTTTTACCATCCTTCCTGTTCAGAAGTTTTTTCTTAATGTCTAATATGAGCTCCTATTGCTTCAATTAATATTACTGTGTAATCTTTTGTCCAAGATGAATATTGTTTCCCTTTACAGAAATTCCTATTCCTCCAACTTGGACATTTCTCCTTTTGGGGGAGCAACCCCAAGTTTTCCTCTCAGCTACATTTTCTAGGCTTCTGATTATCTATCTCTCTGTCCTCATGCTCTCTTCCACTGGCAGGCCCTTGAAGTGTGGTGCCCAGAACTGGACACAGCTCCGGCTAAGGCCTGAAGTGGTGACTAAAGTAGATGGTCTAATTCTCACATCTTATGAACCATACTTCTGCCGTACACCCCAAATTATTTTACCTTTTTCACATGTATAAGACAATGTCATTGTTGAAAGAGGTTGTTTTGTAAAGCATTACCATTCCCACACCCTTTTTTACAATAATGTTTTGTACCTGTTAGCTCCCCAGCCTGTATTTGTGTGACTGAATAGCATTCATTCTCTGTGTAGTTCCTGGCATTCGTTTCTCCAGACGGTCATTCTTTTATTTCAGACCCTTTCTTTTAATTTACAACCCAGCCTTCCAACGGCCTTGGAATCTTTCCTTAGCCTTGTGTAGTCTCAAAACATTAATACTCTCCAGCCATCACTGGTCATTCATGGAAACAGAAGATGTGGAGACAAGGCACAGAAGCAGCATGGGCGTAGCCTACGG